TCAAGAAAATATTGCTCTTTCTAATCTAGACGTTTTGATATCTTGCCAAGTCAATTCTGTACTTCACTGAACTCCTGAACTACTCAAGGTCAAGTTTGTTCACATTTGATGAATATAGCCATATTATTTCAAATTCTTTGTGAAAGGTTGAAGTAAATGAATCCTCTTTAGCTTTCGGAGTCAATTGTCTATACCTAGAACAATAACTCTTTGCTTTTTCGATTTCAACAAGTAAGACTTGCTTGTCTTAGAACGATTTCGAATCGAGCAACTATCAAGAGCCTATATAATAGAGCCTTGAGTACGTTCTTGTCGATGTGACATTGCTAAAGATGTTCAGAACGCAAATCATGCCCATGACTTGAACTTAGTGAGTTTACCATGTTAAGGAAATGTTTGTTTATAATCAAGCATTCTTGACTCAACGCTTGGATAACCATGCCATTCAAATAAATTTGCAACTATTGCTCCTTTACTTTGTATGTGATTCTTTCTGTGTGTGAACGAATCTTTTTCTGATTATGGAACATAACCATTATTCGTTCCAGCCTTTTTGCTTAAAAGGTCTTTAAACAAGCATACGACCTTACAACTTATGTAGCTCTTGTTGCTTAATTATAATCTTGTAAGTCGATAACTTAGCTTAACTTCAATAGTTTGAGGTCACTTTCAAAGTGGAACACTCAAGCAGTATCCGATACTTGTGAAGATAACGAGTTGCTAAGTTAACTACAATAAGATGAACTCATGTGTTGAAATGGAATCTTATTCCTTTTCTTCGTTCCTTGTTTCCTATATTTCTTATCAATCAATATCTCATGACCTTACTTTAAGAACCATTTCTTTAAGTATCTTGACTTTTACACTTTGTTAGGCATAATTAAGCATCTAATGCGCCGTAAAACAAAGTTCCATCTTTTCCTTTAGTTCATGCTTGAATTACTACATCGATGAGTCCTACTCATTTATGTATGAAGCGAAAAGATATGTTGGTTGTCAAATATTGACAATTTGAGTTTGGAACTCAATACTTCATGTTTTATCAAAACTACCTAGTATTTTGAATATATGATGTCCAACCGTCCTTTCAGACTTTGTTATAAAAGTCATTTATGGGAATTGTATTTTAGAAATGCTTTTCCTTTGTCTGAGAACTATCCTCAAAGATTTCCTTTACCAATCATGGAAACAATATTATTTGATTTAGAATACTATAAATATAAGTGCAAAGTATAACCATTTATCAAGAATATAATAAGTTTGAAATTTAAGAGCATTCATGCAAACTTCAATCTTATTAAACGTCTTATCCACGCATTAAATTTGTCCCTATTTGGCGAAAATAAGTCGATTCCAAGATCCAAAGAAACAAAGAGTGGTTAAGCATGCTTTGGCTTGTCTTAACACTCAATCTTCTAAGGTAAGAAACTCTTTGCTAATGACTCAAAGCCACTATTGGTTAGTAATCATCGCATCTAATGCTCTCATGACGATTTATCTCTTTTGCCTCGACAGGTATGGACTCCATCACTCATATCGTTGAGTACAACCAAAACCAACATGCACACCCGGTGTGCCTTACGATCTTTGGAGTAGTGATGGTACCTCGCTTTGGCGTAGCCCACCATCACACTCATTTGGTGTGCAAGTGTTGTTTTGGAAAGACACAAGGGTGACAATTGTGTTCAAGATCTTCTCTATTATCAATGAGCATTCTTAACTCTATCTTACCTTATTGCTTTGTTTTAATTTCATGTTTGTTTGGATTGGTTTTGATGTTTGATGCTTGATTAGTGTAGTTGTTCTTGATATATTGTTGATTCTTAATTCCTCTAGTTGTTTGTCGATAGAAGATGATATTTGAGTAGTTGTTGGCTAGGAATTGGGTGAAACTTGTATGATTGATTAATTGTGATTAATTTGGGAATTGTGTTGATTTATTGTTGAGATAAAAGGGATTAGTGAAGGTTTGCATCTGTATAATTTGATTATGCCTTGAGAATTATGCTAGATTGCATTGTAATTGCTAATGACACGAACAATTGATTCAGGAATTGCAATTATCGATTGGTTTTGATTGTGATTCTCTTAGTTTGTTATTCACAGTGAACCCTAGCTTAAAAATTAGGAGATAGCTCTTGATTCCAATTGATAGCTCTTATCATTATTCTTCACAACCTTTGATTGGCATGATCTTTCCAAGTTGTTTTAATTGACATGATTACTTATTGATCCCCGTTCCTAGTGTTTTGTTTCCTTGGTTACTTGTTTTGTTAGTTGTTAGTATTCTCCCTTTACCTTTGATTTCGACCTAGATTAGGCGCATAATTGAAAATGCTTGAACATTACCGTCCCTTTGGGTTCGACCCTTGACTTGCCTATATACCCGTATTTAGGTTTGTTAAGTGTTTATAAATTTAGTTTGACCGAGGGAAGATTAGATAACGACCTAGTTTTCCCCTCGTCAGGCTTCTACCTGGCCGTTGGCTTGCGGTCGGACAACTGAGGCAAAGCAATGAGCTATGCCCTGGTCTCTCAACCATTCCTTGAGTTGAGGTGTTCCAAACTAAGGTCCATTGTCGAACACCATTGACTAAGGTACACCAAAGCGAGTAATTATACTCTTCCATATGAAAGCTGACACATCGGTCCACTTAATGCCCCGGACGGCCTCGACCTCAACCCATTTCGTGAAGTAGTCTACTGCTACAAACACATATTGCCTTTGGCCAGACGCTGGCGTATACGGACCCAAGATGTCTATCCCCCATTTGGAAAAAGGGAGCGGAATACTTATGGCCGATAAACTGTTAGCTGGGCGATGGATCAAGGTTGCAAATCTCTAGCACTTGTCACATTTCTTCACCTTTTTCATGGCGTCCGACTTCAAGCTCGTCCAGTAGTACCCCAGATGGGTGGCCTTTTCAGCTAGGGATCGTCCTCCAATGTGGGAGCCATAGTGCCCCTGGTGAAGGTCGTCTAGCACATCATGCCCCCTCTCAAGGGTAATACACTTCAGGTAGGGCTTTACAAAAGCTTTCTTAAACAACTCTCCATGCTTCATTTCAAACCAGGCCGCCCTCTTTTTCATCAGCCAACTCTCCTTGGGATCGGCCGGGAGCAATCCATCCCTTAGGTAGGAGATGATTCCTTCCATCCAAGTAGAGCTTCTATCAATGACTTGTACTGGCTCGGCATCAATACTCCTTTTTTCTTTTACTTCCCAAAACACTGATATGGGAGTATCACATGAATACATGATGCTGAGGATGCTAATTTGGAGAGGGCGTCCGCCTGATAATTAGACGAACGAGGAACTTGTTGCAGAGAAAAGTGCTCTAGGCCCTCTACCTCCTCTTTGAAAATCTTAAAATATTTCATCATGGCCAGCTCCCTTGCCTCAAAGTCGCCATTCACTTGGCCGACTACCAGCAGGGAGTCCGAGCTCACATCCACTTTTGTTGCTCCTGCCGCCTTACAGATTCTAAGGCCGGCTAGGAGGGCTTCATACTCGGCCACGTTGTTAGAGGCTTGAAATTGAAATCTTAGCGCATACTCAAACTTATCTCCCTCAGGAGATTGACAAATAATTCCAACGCCACATCCGGTCGCTGTTGCTACCATCCACAGACACCTTCCAAATCTGGTCTCCGGCCGGCTGTAAGTCCGGCCGTGTCATCTCAGCCAAGAAATCAGCAAAGGCCTGCTCCTTTATGGATTTTCTGGGGTCGAACGTGTTGTCGAAGCCTCTCAATTCTAAAATCCCATTTAAGCATGCGACCACTTGCTTCTAAAGTGGCAAACGGCTTCTTGAGTGGTTGATCAGTATAAACCACTATTGAATGTGCCAGGAAATACAGTCGCAACTTTTTAGATGCCATGTACAACGCTAAACCAAACTTTTCAATAGGGGGTACCTAAGCTTGGCATTGTGTAGCACATGGCTGATGAAGTAGACTGGGATCTAGTGGTCGTCCCGTTCAACAAGCAGAACAAAACTTAAGGAATGCTCTGAGATAGTGAGATAGATGTACAACTTCTCATCCTTGAGCGGACTGACGAGCTGAGGCAATGTATGTAGATGACTTTTTAACTGTACAAATGCTTCCTCTGCCTCCTCCGTCCACTCAAACATAGCTTTCTTTTTTATAGTTTAAAAAAAGTATCGGCATTTGTCCCCCGATCTTGACAGAAACCGACCGAGTGCTGCTATTTACATAAATTTCGAGTCTGAATAAATAAAGACGGGAAATAAAGTAACAAATAAATTTATATTAATATGTGAATTTTGGGTACAATCTCTGTATAAAAAGTTTATAATAAAATAAACTAAGTCCTCTGATTCTGTTCCGCAGCTTGACGATGACACGTGTGTGAAACCTGTAGGTTGACGTTTGATGACGTCGACTTGAGTTTGAATGCAGGGTGACATTTGATGATGTCAACCTGTATTCAAGGCTTTTGTTTGAATACACCTGAACGAGGGCTTTGGAGCTTAGTCCTGTTCAAATGTGTTTGAGTGTATCTGAACAAGTCGGCACGAGTTTGATGTGCTTGTTGACTTATTTCAGAGAGAATTCCGTTTGAGTTTTATGAGCTTTTGGAATAATGATTTCTGGATCCCTTCAACTGATGGAGAAATGGTGTATTTATAGGAGATGAGAACCCCTTGAGTGGACTTAGTAGGTTTGGGTATGACCCATTTTATGACTTAGAAGTCTTTTAACTTGGCCCATTCGATTTATTTATAACCTGAATTGTATAGAAAATTTTACCCTACACCCCCCCTATGCTACGTCGTTTTGCGATTCTTTCCTTTTTTTTTTTTCCTTTTTCCTTTGTTTCTTATTATTCAATTTATGTATATATATGATTTTAAACCCTATTTTTTCTCTCTCTTCAATTGATCAACCTCCATTTTTTATCTACATTTTTCTCTCGCTAATTCATCTTCTTCATTTGATTTTTTGAACGAATTCGTTAATTGTTACCGATCATCAATGGCGAATTCTGCATCTGGAGATTGCGTTGATTTTGATCGTGATTGCGAGCGTGTGTTTCCTTCTGGACTTCGTTTCGTTGATTCGTTTGTGCAACAATGTGAGTAATTGTGATCATAATTTTTCAATTTTTAATTATCTCTAATTTGTTCTGTTATAATGCTCTGTTAATTTGAACTTAATTGATGTATTATTATTCACTTTCGATTTTTTAATTTACTACTTTGATTACATTATGATGAACGTTTTTGGATTGTTATACTTTGTATGAACATTATGTTGCTTCATTTGTTGTTTCATTTGTTGTTTTCTCTGTGTTTTAGAATTGTGTGTTTTTGTTGTATATTTTGTAGATTATACTTTCAATTAATCATTTATGTTTTCTTATTCATTCTTACTAATGTGTTTATGTTCAGTCTTAAAGTCATTTTTGATCATTTATTTTTACATTTTTATATCGATATTATGTGTAGTGGTAAATAATGAAAATATTGTTCAAAATATTATGTGCTGAAATTCTTTTTGCAATTGATCATGTGCTTTTTTGATATTGAACACTTTACTTATTTGTTATTGTTCATTCATGAAACTCTTTATGATCATTTATAATTGTATATTGTGCAGTGGAAAAAAAATGATGATATTATGTATTTAGAAGCAGAACAGTCTGAATTAAAGGATAAAGAATTTAAATCTGAAGATGAAGCTTTCGAAGCGTATAATGAATATGCTTTTAGGAAAGGTTTTGGTATTCGAATTGGGAAGAGTAAGAGAAGAAGAGATGATTCTTTTTTGATGAAAAGATTTGTTTGTTGTAATGAGGGATTCAAAGATAATAAGTGTAAGAATAAAAGGATTTATGAGAAGTTGGATCATCGAACTGGTTGTTTAGCTTTTGTGCAGTTTCATATTGATCATTTAGGGGTCTATACATGTACAAGACATGAAATGGTTCATAATCATGCTATGATTCCTCCTGAAAAAAGGCATTTGATAAGGTCTCAAAGAGATGTGAATAAAGAGCAGCTTCTTTTCATTTCAACAATGAAATTGAGTGGAGTCAAAGTTACTGATTCTTTGAGGGTTCTAAAGAAGGAGGTTGGGGGATCTCCTAATCTTTGTTTTACTGCTTCTGATGCTTATAATGCATTGTCATCTGAAAAAGCTGCCCAAATTGAAGGATGTGATAGTAACCAATTGATTAAATATTTTGCCAAGAGACATGTGGATGAGACAGATTTTTATTATGATTTTGAACAAGATGATAGTGGTGCTTTAGTTAGTTTTTTTTGGCGTGATGGTAGGATGATGAGAGATTATCATTACTTTGGAGATTTGTTGGTTTTTGATACAACTTATAGAACTAATAAATATGGAATGATATGTGCTCCATTTGTTGGGATGAACCATCATGGTAACAATGTCATGTTTGGTATGGGTTTTATTCTTAATGAGCGCACCGAGTCTTTTGATTGGTTGTTCGATACATTTTTGCACTCAATGGGGAGGAAAAGTCCCATTACAATTATGACTGATCAAGCACAAGCGATTGCAGCGGGTATAAGAAACATTTTTCCTTCAACTGTTCATCATCGTTTATGTGTATGGCATCTTGAACAAAATTCTAAGAAACACATTGGAGCATTGAGAGCTTTGGAAGGCTTTACAGATTTGTTTGGATATCTTTTGAAGTATTGTGAAACTCCTGCTGAATTTGAATATTTCTGGAAAAGATAAATTATTGTTTTTTGTATTTATTTTTTATTTTTATTATGTGATATATTTGATTATTATGTGATATATATATATGAACATTTAGTGTTCTACATATGATCATACAATTTACTTTGTTATGTATGTTATCATAATATTATTAGTGTCCATATTGTTTATGATCATTATTCTTTATACAAATGTACATATTTTAATTTATATTTTGTTCATTTTTAAATTAATATATGATCATTTCTGTTATACAGGATGTGTGATAAATACAAATGTGAAAATGATGACTGGTTATGTGATTTGTATAAAATAAAGGAAATGTGGTGTCCTGCTTATTCTAAGAAGTATTGGTCTGGTGGTATATTGTCTTCTCAACGTAGTGAAACTACTAATAAGTCAGTTTCACAACGTCTTAATAAGACTCAAGGTTTATGTGATTTTTATCATGTTTTTCTTGATGTCATTTCTGAGTGGAGAAGTAAGGAAGGTGCAAGAGATTACAATACTCTGAGGGGTAATAGGCACCTAGCTTTTGCTGATATTGGTATATTAGTTCATGCAAGATCATTGTACACTATTCAAGCTTATGTTCTTTTTGAAGAGGAGTTCATTTGGGGGATAGCTTATGATCATGTTGATAATGGTTTGCGTTTTCCAGAATATTCATATCTTCTTTGGAGGCCTGGAAGGATATAATTAATCATGAAGTTGTTTTTAATAAGGAAACACATGCAATTTGTTGCACATGCATGTACTTTAGTGAGACTGGTTTACTTTGTTCTCATTCTCTTCGAGTATATCATTTGCATTGTGTGCGTAATATTCCACAAGAGTATATAATGAAACGATGGAAAAAGGCTGCCATGTGTAGTCATGGTATTGAAGAACCTACTTTGAGGACAAATGTTGTGGCTACTAGTGTTTGGAGGTCACAAACAATCAGAAAGTTTGTTAAGTTGATAACAAGTTGTCAGAATTCTTTGAATGCAAGGGCAGAGGTTGAGTGTTATTTCAATCTGTTAAAAGAAAAGGTTGAGAGTGTATCAGGTGTAATTGACTTTAGTGAACCTGTTAAAGAGGTTGAAATTGTTGATCTTGAGATCAAGAATCCTCCAAAAGCTAGGCCTAAAGGTGAGAGGAATGTAAGGCCTAAGAGTACCTTGGAGAAACAGTGTAACAAGGCAAAGGGTAATTTCAAGAGGAAAAAGTCTCTGTACACTCCTTACAAAAGGGGTATAGGGCAAGCAGTTGTACAGGTATATGATCATTTCATATTTTCAAATTGATCATTTCAGTTTTCGTAAATGATCATTTATGTTTTTTTTTTAAATAGGAACTTGATGAGAACGGTTGTGCTGTTACTTATGCTAATTCTATTAGTGATCCCATTGAATTGATTGTTTTGAGCAATAAACGGGCTCAGGTAAATTCAAATGTGCCAAAAAAAACATTTTATTTATATTTTATTAATATTGATTTTTATAATTTAAAAATATAGGTCGGCTTAAAATCAGCTGTTGTAGAAGAAATTCCTTCTATTTCTAAGGAATCAAATCATAGTATTTCCAATGATTTTGATCAGGTATGTTTGTTTGTTATTGATTATAAATTTATTTTATTTAATTTTTTATTTTTTTGTAGGCTACTTGTGAAAGCTTTCTTTCATCTATCATATCTATTGATGTTGATATTTCATCTATTGCTAAGGTTTTTTTTCCATATTTGTTTGTATAAGTGTTTGTAACTGATCATATACTGGTTTATTAATGATCAATTTAATTTTTTTAAAGGCGAAGGATTTAAATCTTGAAGGTGTTTCTGCTGTTCAACCTCGTTCTAATGTTGGTGCAAATAAAGGTGCTTCTGGTGTTAAAACTTTCTCTCAAATTAATCCAAGAGTTCCAATTCATATTAGTGCGTCAAAAAAATCTCCTGTTGTTATTCAACCTACTGTTCCCAGGAATGTTCAAAATCAAACTCAGAATTGTTCAAACACCAATCCAGAAATGATCATATCCAACTCCAGGAATGTTCAATCAACAAATGTTCAAGTTATTTCTCCTACGGTTCAAATAAATGATCAAGGATTTCGTGTTCAGAATGTTCAAGTTACTCCTCCCACAGTTCAAAGAAATGATCAAGGTGCTCGTGTTCCAATTCTTCAATCAAGAAATGTTCAATTAGGTTCTAAAAAGATTTCTTCTAAGTATGATAGGTTGTTAGCCTTTTTTGATACAAGTGTAGCTAAACGTTTGGCTAATAAAGATAAATAATTAGTATTCCAGAACTTTATAAACATTAGACTTTTTTGTAATGTTGATTTAATTACTATTTTGTAATTTTGAATTTTCAATCTATTATGTAAAAGACATAAATATTATATTTTATATAGTACTATTTTTAGTATATTTGAACTTTATATTAGAATTTTATATGTTTTTAAAAATTATACATTTATCAATGATTATTTAGTCATTAGAATTTTATATGTTTTAAAATTCTACATTTATCAATGATTATTTAGTCATTTGTATATGAACAAAAGTAAGAACCAACATCAAATTTATAAAACTTATAAAAAAATTTCATTCAAAGATCAAAATGAAATATCAATTACAATAATATTAAAATAAAATATAAAAAACTTTCATTCAAAGATTAAAATGAAATATCAATTACAATAATATTAAAATAAAATCCATAAGTCTATTTCTAAAAAAAAAAAAATAGTCATATATAAGAAATGAACATATACATAGTTGTAAATAAGAATTTGAAACTACAAAGTTGCAAATTTTCTAGCTTTCCTTCTATTTGCTCTTGATTCAGTGTTTTCTTCAAATAACATCAGTTCTGCTGTGTATTGGAGCCTTAGATTTCTAATTTGTTCCACCTGTTGAACAAAATGAATTGTCAAATTTTAATTAAACAATCTTTACTGTTTCATAAATGAATATTATATCTGAAATAATTGATCATTTATAACTCTTACATTGTTTGGTTTTAAATCACAAATCCAGCTCTCATTAGGATCAGCAGTGAAGGTTTCCATATGCTTCATAAGGTAAACTCCACAGTTTGTATAGTCATTGTTGCTACGCCATTTCATCTTTTCCAAAACAACTGTGTAGTCTTCAATTCTTTTTGCATCTTGATATCCAAGGTGTTTCATGTACTCTGCCAATCCTTTTAACTGATAGAAAAAAGAGTAAAAATTGTTTAGAAGTTTGTATTGTGATGAAGACATGAACAATTAATAAAATATAATTGATCATGTAGCCAACTATAAATGAACATATTATCTCACCATCATTTTTGGTTGTTCTTCATATTTTTCTTGGACTGATACCTTTTTTGGTAGTTTTCTATTGTCAATTATATGAATTTTGTCTTCTATATGATTGACGCACAACAGAAAAAATGTTGAGAAGTTGATACTGGGAAGAAGACCTGAACAAATTATATAATGTTATTGGACAATATATTGAAGGTAATTGAACATTTGTATTAAACAAGAATTAATACCTGTTAATATCCAACAATGCTGTCAATTTTATTCAACTTCAGTTCATTGTCAATTCTTTCTATGAAGGCATTAATTCTTGTCTTCATTGATGATCCTTCTCGACAAACTCTATTTGTGCACATAATGTGCTGTTGAAATAGAAACAAATATATAGAAGTTAAATGAATTTTTAGCAATTATTTATCATAGGAAAATAGAATCAATAATATAAAAAAAGAAGAAAGACTAACATGAAGCACTGTTGAGAAATAAATCTTGTTTCTCGGCTTTTTATGATTAAGAAACCTTGTCCATCCATCTATGACACAATTTGTCACTTCAACATCATCTCCAAGAGTTTTCATTTCATTTCTATTGATGAGATTCAAGCCATCATAGTATAAGAGTGCACTGCATTATGAACATTTAATAATATGAATGTGAACATATTTTTATAAAAGATATAAAACCTTAAGTTTAATTAGTGTAAGTAATTACCTTTCATCTTTTCCACCAAGAGCAAAGTCTACTGCAATTTGGTTCATGGCTTTCTCATCTTTAAACAGATCCTTGTACTTGACCAAGTAAGGAGATCGGAAAGCAGGAGGAATTGTTTGCTTTTCGCGTTTTGGTCTTGTTGTTCAATATAAAATATTGTTAAATTAAGAAAATTATGAGGAACATAAATGAACATTTGAGTGTATATAAATAAATTTGAAATTATACCTTTCAACCTTTTCCTTTTCAGTTTTTTTCTTCTTTTCTGCAATTGACTTTTTCTTATCATCATTCCTGGTCATATTACATAACACAAATGTACATTTAGGTATATGAAAATGTTCATTATTATTTTTGAACATTTACTTAATATAAATAATGTACCTTTTTGTGACTTTTGAGGATGAAGCAACAATCTTCTTGTTTTCACTGAAAAGTCAAACAATGTCAGTACATATTAATAAAATAAAAGCTTCTTATGTAACACCCTGAATCATTTTCAATTCATAAAATGAAAGATATTGATTTAACATAAACCTATTGATTTAACATAAACCACACATTCATATTACATATTCAACAAAATAATGTTCACACATACAATAGTTTGAGAAACACCAATTTCAAGTTACAACCACATAAGTTAAATTGTTCCATCTAGATATTTTATCCTTACTAATTACATAACCCTAATAGTAAGACATGTCTTCAAGATTTTACCCCTCCACTTTTTCATCATTTTTTTGTTTTTTCAAAAACATCTTCCTTGTTTTGTTTTCCACCTCCAACTGTGTTTTTTGGATCATCACTTTTTTCACCACCATCTGACCTAGGGTCAGCATCAACCACTGAACCAGATCCTGCATCTAAGAAAAAATTTAATTAGATATAATATTATTTCTTTGTAAATGAACATTTGAGTATTTATAATTGAACATTATACCTGTTCTAGGCAATCCTTCATTATCTGACCTAGTGTCAGCATCAAATTTTGAACCAGTTGCTGCGTCTAACAAAAAAATACAATTAATAATGAATATTTCTTGTTTGTAAATGAACATTTTACACTTTTTAATTGAACATTATACCAGTTCTAGAAAATTCTTCAATTCTTTGTTCTGAAGCTGCTGAAGTTTTACCCACATCCTTTTCTCCAGCTGTATTATAAATCATCATTTTGGAGATACACTAAGTTAATAGTATTTACACATAATAATTAGAAATGAACATTTCTAATTAAGTTTATGTACATTATTATTAAATATATGAACATATTACCATTTGTTGAAATTATTGGTTGTTCAATTATATCACCAAGTGTTGAAGAGGTGGGCCCTGTTTCTGTTTAGGACAATTTAGACCACAAATTTAGAATTTTTCATATAAAAATTAGGATATATAGTCTCTTTTAGTTAGAATTTACCAATGGCTGGAGAAGGTGGAGTCAACCCCAAGCTGAAAGCTTTTCTGATGTCATATTCTTGTTCTTTTTCCTTTCCCTTTTTGGTTAATTTCTTCCCAGTCATTTGCTTCTCAGTTGTTTGCTTTTCAGACCCTTGAATCAGATTCTTCTCAGCTTGTGCAAGTGCATTTAGGAAATCCTCACTGCCAAAGAATTCTTCATCTTGGCTTAGAATTGATGGTTCCCTAGCTGCCACCTTTCCTAAAACTTCATCAACTTTTTTCACCAAGTCATTTCCAGGGAAGATATCCTTTGCCTTCACCAATTTTGAAGAAAGCTTTGACAGGTTTGAACAAGTTGTTTTTACCAGGGAAACAAAATCATCCATAAAAACCTATATGAATGAATATTAAAAATTATGCAGTTGAACATTTCAGATTATACAAATGAACATTTATGTTAACAAAAGTGATCATTTTATAACCTTAGGACTTTCTTCAACTTCTGCAGCAATCCTTGGTAGAATCTTCCCTCTCCCAAATCCCAATTCTAATTCAATCTTCAACCTCTCAAGAACCATGTCTCTATTCCATGCAGATATGATAGGAATTGTTCTTGGAGGCCTTTTGTCTAACCTTTGAACTCTATCAAAATAGAACAACTACAAGAAAAAAGAAAACATGTAACAGAACATAAACAATAAAAAAAGTGCATTTATTTAAATTTAAATGAACATTTTGTATCTAAGAATATACCATCAGAAATTGAAGAAGGCCTTTGTAGAACCCCTTGCCTTGCTGCTTTCTCCAATCAACATGACATTTGATAAGTGAGTCATATACAAACTGACACCAGTTCAAATTTTTTATGTTTTCTTTGTCCATCATAAAATAAAGAAATTTGAAATGGCATTGATTGTTTGATACACATTTCATCAAGCAGTTCACAGCCACTGCTAAAAAGTTAGTAATGAAATGTTCACTTGGTGGTCTGTTGTTGGTGAATTTATCATTTATGTATCCATTCACAATCTGCAAACAAAATGAACAAAACATTTATAATTTTGATCATTTAATGTATTTAAAATGAACATTTAAAACTGATCATACCTGACTCACTGATGGAGTTTTTCCTGACCATGATTTTCTCCATTTCTTCAGAAATTCTGCATACTCCTCACTAATTTTATCAGACTTTGGCTCAACAATTGGAATTTCTCCTGTAGGCAAGCCATAAACTACCCTAACATCCTCTACCTCAATTTCTATTTTTTCAATCTTTGGTAGTTCAAAACACTGGCTATTTTCTTCAAAACTTCCCAATAACCAGTTACAGAACTTTTGATCAAGTTGAGGTAAACTAATGTCAAGAAGTGATCCTAACCCTATATCAACAACTTGTTGTTTTTGGGTAGGTGTCATCTTTTTTATCCATGCAATGAACTTCACATGTCCTCCTCTCTTTGAAGATTTCTCTTCCTCAAATTCATCTTCCTGAATTTCCTCAACTTCATCAGTTTCTATTGCTTGAACCATTTCAGTTTTCATTTTCTTTTTTCTCCTACCTTCAATCTTTCCTTCATCATACAGTACCATCTTTTGCTCCTCCTTTTCAACCTTTGCCTTCACTGAATTCCCTTTCTTTGCCTGTTTCTTCCTTGGCTTTACTTCTTCCTCTTCCTCCACCTCATAATCATCCTCACTGACAGGCTCTTCTTCTGCTCTATAAACTGACTCTTCACTATCATCATCACTGTCAGTAGAACTTTCATCAGTAGGATCTTGAGAGGGTTCATCTGATGGTACTTCTTGTATTTTTTTTTCTCTTTCCAGCATTTCTCTTGGCAGGACTGACATCTGAAAATTAAATATATAATTTTGTTTAAGTATTGAAAATGTACAGTAAGCAAATGATATAATGAACAAAATTTTTTTCTCAAGTGATCATTCTATATATAGAAATTGAACATTTATAATATATCATTATATACCTGCTTTTCTTTTGCCAGCAACCTTAGAATTTTTCTTCACTTCTTCTGGAGTTTTCTTTTTCCCACCTATATATTGAAATTGAACATTAATGATATACCATCATAAATGATCATTCTATACATTAAGGTTGAACATTTACCCTTTTTGCCTTGGTCTGGAGGATATTCAGCAGGAGCACCTGCCATTTTTTTTATTGGAGTAGGTGCTGGAGGTGGTGCATCAGCTTCCTTTTGAATAGGAAAATTCCTTGTTGACATTCTTCTCTTCTGTCCTATTTTTGCGGTTTCTTTAGCAGGTTCAACATCCTTCTTCAGGCTTCCCTTTTCAGATTCATCTAACAGAACATCTATTGTTTTTAAAAAAATTTATGTTAGTATATTTGAAAGTGTAATATTTATTGTGTAACAGAAAAGTATTATGATTACCTTGGCTCCTTGTAATTCTACCACTTGGCACAACAACGAGGCTTTTGTTTTTGTTTTTCCTTGCAACCATTTTGTATCTTGTTTTCATTTTGGTTGACTGATCACTTTTTTGTGATGATGGAGCTGTCTCCTCACTAAGTTTTGTGGAAACTTTATCATCATCTTGATCTAGAAGATAAGTTTCATCCTCAATTTGAACAAAATCAGGTGCAATTTGTGCTGCATATGAAATGATCAAATATAAAAGATTAAATAAACATTTATTTAAATTGGATGACAAATGTTTACTATATACAATATAAATGAACATTTCAGATAATGAATATGTACATTTTCCACTATTTACCTTTCGGATCTGTTGTCTTTGTAGACTCATCTTCCACTGTTTTCTCTTTAGGGATTTTCTCCTTTTCAGGCTCTTTTTTTCCCTCTTGTCCTTCTATGAAAATTTAATTAGTTAATATTTATATATTTTTTTAATCTTATTGAACATTCAATATTATGTAGATCCAATATGAACATTTTATGTAATAAAAATGTACATTTATAAATTTTTACCTTCTACATTTGTTGTCTTTAGAAAGACATCTTCC